GTGAGGTCACTGGTGGCTGAGTAGCTGATAGGGCAGGAGCAGGCATCTGACTTTGCAGGTGCTCCTAAAGTGTTCAGCCCCCTCTGAAGTTTCTCCAGATGTCTCCCACTGTTGCAGAGGACTAGAAATTCTGTTTTAACTCTTCATCATTTCTATTGAATATACTTATCCTCATTTTTTGTTGGCTTTTTGCACTTTCTTACTTGCTGTAGCAGAGTTCTCAACTTCTTCCTCCTTGATATTGTCACTTCCTTTGGTCAGCAAATGACCAAAAGGGGTAGAAGGCTGTTTGTCCACATAGACCATTGGTCCTCACAGTCCCCTCAGGTGACCGTTGTTCCTCAGAGTCACCCCCCAGGTTACTATTAGTCCCCACAGTCCACTCAGGTGACATTGGTTCTTACAGTCCTCCCAGGTGACCACTGGTCCTCACTGTCCCCGCCCAGGTGACTGTAGGAATTTGCAGTTCCACCTCATGTGACCATTGCTCCTCACAGATCCCACAGGTAACACTGGTATTTGTAGTCCCCCCTCAGGTGAGGGCTGTAACCTCCCCAAACCCAGAACCATGCCTGGGTGAGTTGGGGTGGGGTGGGAAGGGCTGCAGTGCCTCTGAGTGCTGCATTTGGTGCGTGGGCACCAGCACCCACTGGGCTGGGTCAAAACGCCTGAAGAGACCTCTGGAAATGCTGGGTGCTTGTGTGTGTGTTATTGTAGGGTCTCTTGGGATGTCATGCACATGACCACCTTTTCTTACCAGGGTTGCTCACCGGCTGCATCTGCTTTCCAGGTTTGGGGGGTAAGCTTCATCCTGCCATGTCCCATGAGTGCTGCAGGGTGTTCCACTCCATTTGGGAGATGTCTTGCCCTGTTTGCCCTGTTGGTGCTGAGGCTCCCAGCCCCGAGGTGAGCCATGCCCTCAGCTGAAAGTTTCATCTGTCTGTCCTAGCTCAGCAAGGGCTGGGAGACACTCAACATCACTCCTGCAGTGAGATCCTTGAGCTCCACAGTGCTGGCTGGTGACTCTGGCTGTCAGGGGAATCCAGTCCTGCCCCACAGCACTGTGGTTCACAGGGTTTGGCTAGGGGAGAACCAGCCCCAGCAGAGTTGTGGTGGATGTGGCCACAGGCCAGCCAGGTTTTCTTCTGACTCAGCTGATAGCTGGCTTGCACACGCTGCCAGAGACTTTTCCTGCGAAACTTTGCCAGGAAGTTGTCCTGTAAAACCAAACCTTTTGAAGCTGCACGTTCAAGTGTGTGGTTGATTGGAAGCACAAACTAAATTCCTTCCTATGCCTGTCTGAACTCCGCTGTCTCTGATGGGAGATTGGCTTCCTTTTTCTCCTTAACTGGGAGGCTTGGAGGCACTTTACGCCCATGTGAACAGTTGCTTATTTCCATGAAATATGTAAGAACATGTTTATATATGCACAAACACAGTTTTAATTTTTTTTTTTTTTTTTTTTTTTTTTGTGCTTTGGTGTTTCCTGCAATAAGCACCAATAATTCAGTGGTGCTCCATCTTCCATTTGCAGCTGGTCAAAACCTCCCAAGCTCATCCACAATCCTGAGGAAAGGCACATGTTCTTAGCAAAAACACGAATGTTTTAATTTCATTTTATACACATCTGCAGCTCCCACAGATTACATCAGAGTTTCAGTGTTACTCAGCACTTTGTAAAACGGTTTGTGGCCAGGTGCTGTTAGTCTGTGTAGAACAGTTCAGTCTCAGCACAAATACTTCTGGAATATGACTAATAAAGGCAACTTTTAGGAAAAAATGCTAGAAAGCGACAGTAGAAGGGCATAGCTTATGACCTACTGATAAATCTGTTATTGTACCAGAACTTGGAGAAATTGCCACTGGGCATTGGGGTGCCCTAAAGAGCCTCAGTGGGTGCATGGGGTAGTGCCACGAGGTAAGAGGTTATCATGTGTAATGAGTGAGGAGGTCTCAGACTTGCATCCTTGTCTGCTTAGCCAATTGAAGCAGGTCAGGAACCCCCCAGGTTACCCCCCTGTGTCTCTGAGTTGAGTTGATCTCATACCCGGCAGTGCCCAGAATTTTGTCAGCACAGAAAAAGGTAGAGTTTTTGTCCCTGTGAGGGTGGTGGAAGGACCTTCTGGGCTAAGCTTCTTTGCTCAGGATGGAGTTTCTGGACTCTGATTCCTCCATTTGCTGGTGCTTTCTGAAATGAGAGGGAGATGGCTCATCGGTACTCCATGGAAGAGACTTCATGGGGGTGCAGACCACAGCCGGCAGGGCCACTGGAGCAGGAGCTTTGCTCCTAAGTGCAGCAATCCCCTGCAGCACTTCCTCCCCTCTTCTCCCACTGCGGTGCCATGGGGCAGAAAGGGCCTCACCTGCATCTCCACACCCAAAGCGCCGTGATGGCAGCCACAGCTATTGCTGCCAGCAGCCCAGCCCCAAGCCCTGCAATCAGCACCACCTCTGAGTTACCTGAGAAACATGAGCAGAGACTGCCATGAGCTTTCTTGGCTTTGCCCCATCCTGTGGGGCAGGGCGGCTCAAGACCCCCATCCCTGTCCCCAGGGGTGGCACCTACCCCATGGGATGAGGAGGCTGCGGGTGCCCAGGCTGCGGTGGCGCACGCGGCAGGCGTAGCTGTGCCCATCACTGGGGGCCACAGCCAGGATGCTGCGGAGCTGGTAGGTGAGGTCGGCATTGGGGAGGATGGCACTGGTGTTGAGCGCCGGGCCTGGTGGCACCTCCTGGCCATCCCGCAGCCAGGCCACGCTGATGGCACGTGGGTCCAAACCAGTAGGAGTTGGTCTGGTCTGGGCGTGCGGGCGAAGACGGTGGCCACAGGTGGCTCTGGGGGGCAAGAGCCAAGGGGTGAGGGGAGCCCCAGTGGGGCACCACTTGGCTCCAGTGTGTGTGGGGGTTTAGGATGGCCGTGCCAGGGTCAGGGTGGTCTCACCTTGTCTCTCCAGAGCTGCCTTCCCATAGCGCAGAAACACTTCCATGTCGTCAACGCAGGTATCATTGAAGAGGACTTCCACCAGCTCGCTGAAGGCAGTATAGTTCTGGAGAACGGCCTGGACATACCGTGACAGGTTGGTGTCTTGGGAAAGGAGCCAGGTGGCATTGTCTGCGTTGAAGCTGAGGAAGTCCTGGCCATTGTAGCCCACATAGGCAAAGGCCCGGGAAGTCCTGTTGGGGTAGAGCTTGCAGCCCCCCATGCATTGAGCCACGAAAGGGTCTGGAGGGGCAGAGAGGAGAGAGAGGTTGCATGAGGGGCTGGGACTGCCTTCCTGGGACTGCCTTCCTGCAGACGTGGTCAGCATCTCCTGGTGCAGCACCAGCACTGCCGGGTCCTTCCCCACTTCCCAAATGCTGTTCGGAGAGGAGATGCAGAGAAGACCAGGTACTCACAGGGCACATCCTTCTGCATGGCACCTTCATTGATCAGGTGGTTGAACTGCTGTAAATAGATCTTGATCATGTTCTCAATGGTGTCCCAGTCACTGCGGGGCAGGGCTGGGTGCACCCAGGGCTGGTAGAAGCGGATGGTCCAGGTGTGCTTATCAAGAGAACCAAGCTCGATGTCTTCCAGCAGGCCTAGCCCCTCTGTGTCCACGAAAGAGGTGTTTTGGAAAGTGGAGGTCTGGAGCAGCCGGATAGTGAAGGTCCCTACATGAGACAGGGACCAACAGGGGGAGATGGGAGTGGGAGGAGAGGACTGGGGAAAGTGGAGGGGCTGAGGGATGGGTCCTCAATGTTGCAGGGACCTGTGGGCCCCCCATAAGTCCCCTGCATCCTTGGCAGCCCCAGCTCCCACCCCCTGCACCCACCTGAGGTGGCTTCATCCCCGCCAGGGATGTGTGGAGGCAGGGGACAAGGAGGGGTGAGGAGGCAAGTGCCCAAGGCAGGTGGGGAGCAGGAAGCCCTGGGGTCCCACAGGGCATGGGAACAGATGTGGATGAGCCAGGGCTCCCACTTACCCTCCAGGTCTGCCCATGTCCCAGAGAGGAGGAGGAGGAAGTAGAAGAGAAGGAGGAGGAGGAGGCAGCAGTGAGGGGGCTGCATGGTGCCAGCCAGCAGCGAGGCCCCGAGAGTGCAGTAGTGGGTGCAGCAACAGGAGGAAGGGGTTATGAGAGATGTGGCCACGTGCTTCTCCTCAGGGTGACTGCCTGGGCAGCTCCACTGGTGCTAGTGGTCCTGGCAGCCAATGGGGCTGGCATTGAGGTTTTGGGGAGGGCCCTGAGGTTCCTGCTTGGGGTGGGCTGGTCTGGGGCACCCTGAGTATGGCTGTGAGTGCTGGGGGAATTTGGGTGGGAGCAAGGCCATCCCACTGGCTGTAGGAGGGGTCCCTCATGGCTGCAGCAGCACCTTGACAATCTGAGCAGTGCAGATGACCCAACCCCTCTTTTCGACCTCCATTACAGGTGGAGGTACCTCCTGGCTGTAGGCTGCATCCACTGACCCTGATGGGAATGTCCCTCATTGTCACTCATGCCCAGCATGTCTGGCCCTGTGTAGCCCAGACATCTCCATCCTCTCTGTGGTGCCTACGTAATCAGGAGGGTTTGCCCCAACATGCCTGTCTTGCCTGCAGGTGAGGTGAAACCCATTCTGACAGCCTGGCCACATGCTTGGGCTCCCCATGCCCCCAGGCTGTGTACTGGTCCTGTGCCTCTTTATCACCTCCTGGCTGTCCCACAACTATGTCATGCTGATGGGCCATGGGTAGAAGTCAGTGATGTGGCAAAACAGCAGGAGCAGAGCTGGACCAAGCATGCAGGTGAAGACCGTGGCCATGGATGGGTCTGGGGAGCAAGAGTGAGGAGAGCTGGTGATAGCCCCTGACCCCTCAGCAGCACTGGCCTGATCCTGGGGAAGGAGCTCCCTAGGGAGGAGGTGACAAGCAGTTCCCGCTCGGCCCATGGCTGTGGGGTCGGGGATGGGTGTAGGCAGGGCTGGAGGAAGCATCTCCTCCAGGAGCTCCTCGGGGTTTGGAAGTGGATGGGCTGGAGCAGCTGTATTGTGATGGTCCCCAAGGAGAAAGATGGGCTGCAGGGCCTGGAAGGGACTGTTTCCCACTGAAAATCATCAGACCCTTGGAGCAGTGGCACTTGGCTGGGTAGGATTCCCAACCTGGGACAGGGATGGGACCATAGTCTCCCCACCCTGAAGCCTGTTCCAGGGGGCTGCAGTAGATGAACAGCCTCCTCATTTCCATGGAGCTCCATCCATGCCACGGGGCCTGGGAGCTGCCTCACTGCTTCCCTGCACCCCACTGTGCTGGGGAGCTCCAACTCTCCTGTAAATTCCCCCTAGGAGAGGGCCTGGGGCTGGGCTGCAGCCTGGTACTCCCCTTTCCTTCCCACCATCTTTGGTGGGGAACCCTGTCCTCCTTCTCAAGTGCCCCCTGGGCATGGGAACAGGAATGGTGGGGACCATCTCCCTGCTCTGTCCCCATTGTTACCAGTGTCCAGCACTGGAGGGACAATGGGGTGACCAGAGCCGGCCTCACCCCGACAATGTCCCCTACCCATGCTCCTCCCCAGCTGTCCCCTGGTGCCTCCCCTCACCCTGCAGTTTCTCTTCCCCTTTTCTGGGGTGCCCATGTTGGGCATGAAGGCAGAAGCGAAACCACAGCCATGGGGAAGTTTGAGGGGGGGGCACCCCGATAACCTCCAAACACAACTGGGGCTTAGGTGTCCCTGCTGCAATGTGGCAGGGTGCCATATGACCCCTCCAAGCACAACTGGGACCAGGTGTCCCTGCTCCATGTCTTAATCTTGGATGTCCCCAGCTGTGGTGGGGACACGGGGAAGGCCTATATGGGGCTGCTGCGGGCTGAGCTCCAGCACCCCATGACACTGAGTCAGACATGGGGACACAAGGACACCAAACCCCTTCTCTTCCGTGGAGCTGTCCCATGGAGAAGTAGGGATGCTGTGGTGGCCTGGTGGGCCCAGAAATAGCACCAACAGTCCCACTTCCCCAGCAGCTCACCTTGGCGTCACCCAGGGGATGTCTGGCCATGCCACCACAATGTCCACATCCCTCCTGGCAGGGCCAGCAGTGCTGGGGTCAGAGGAGAGTGTTTGGCTGGTGGGATGGCAAAGTACAGCCATGGAGTGGGCCAGTGAGGGAAGGGGTAGGGGGACATTTGGCCACGCAGTCCTATGAGGTGACCATTTGTACTCATGGTCCCACCTAAGGTGACTGTTCGTCACTTCTTGCTGAGCAGCTGATAGGCCATTAGCAGGGCTCTGGCTTGTGCAGGTGCATGTGAGGTCACTGGTGGCTGAGTAGCTGATAGGGCAGGAGCAAGCACCTAGCTTGTGCGGACGCATGTGATGGCACTGACTCTTCTCCTCCCACTTTCTAGTCTCCAATCCCCTCATTATTATCACAGGTTACAGTTATTTACTCTGGTGCAGTGGCAGCAGCATGGGAGGTTGTGCTCAGTGCACAGCCATTTCTTTTGGCCACTCCTGATTCCTTAAACTTTTCTTCTGCTGCTTCTTCCTTCTTGCTTGTTTCCTTTGGTTCAGAATGGGTCCTCTATAGTCTGGAGTCCCTTTGGGGAATCACCTGTTCTGGCATGGTCTTATTCTTAGGCCACAGCCCCCTTGGGGTGTACCTGCTCTTCCATGGAGTACCTCCTACTGCTCTGACCTTACTGTTCCTTTTTCTGGGTGTTTAATTCTCTTTCCTAAATACATTGTCACAGAAGTGCCACTAACTCCTCTTGTTCAAAGGAGGTGAGCTGACTGGAACAAAACATCATCAGCAACAGGGCACTTCTCCTTCCTCAGAGATCACCCTGGTAGCCCTCCTCCTCCCCCAACTCCCCAAAACCTTGCTAATTATGCCTGATACAATTCTTTACTGCAGTACAGCTACAATGACTTAAACTGGATGACTATTTGGCTGAGATTTTATTGGAGTTGGTGCATATTCACCATAGTAGGATAGAAGTTACATTTATGAGGGACTGCAGTGCACTTCCACTTTTCTAATTTAGCTTAAGGATGGCTTGCTGATAACAACTGTTATTAAAAAACAGATAAGAAACACAGTCATAAGCCCACCTCCACTTGGGAACTGATTTTAACTGAGAATCTTGTCCTTGGCTCTCATCTGTGCTACACAGGAGCTATGTTGCAGTTCTGTCTGTGGCAAGTCTTGTACCTCTTCATTCCTGACACCAGTCCTGTCCCATTGGCTGGATCTGAATTGTCACCTCAGATTTGCTGGGTGATTGCTGGACTCCTGGCTGGTGCTAGTTACAATCTCCAGATCTGATTGTTACCCTGAGTTTGCTTTGACTTCCTGGCTCCTTGTTGGTGATGTAGCAACCTTCCTCCCTTGCTGTGACTCTCAGTTCCTAGCTCACCTTCTCTTGTAGAGCAGCCTGTCCTTGACACCATAGCTGTCAATGGAATGCAGTGGGTTTACCCTAGGAATGCCCAGGAAGCTTCTGTACATGAAGAATGATTTATTTGTAAATCTTGGCCACTTGGTCTTTGCTGGAGCTACACCAGGTTCACGTCAGCTGGAGACCTGATTCTTTGTCCTCAGTGATGCTAAGTTATTTTTTCCTTTTTGTGAAATGAGACATTTTTCCCAGGGGTTTAAGTGATGCAAAAAATAAACTGGTTTTATATCCCATTAACTGGACTGTCCAACTAGTCAAATTGGCTTTGATCCACTGATACATTTTAGGCTGAGAAGCCTTGCACTTTCAGAATTATTTTTCTCAAGAATGGGATGAATCATATCTGAGAACTGGCTGCCTCTCTCCACTAAGTGTTGATGGACCCTAGGTGATCAAACCCATGCAAAATGTGAACATGCCTATTGGTACAGAAGATGAACCTCTTTATTTCCACCCCTCTCTGGTTTTGCTTTTTAATGATGCCTTTCTTCTGTTCATATAGAGAGACCTAAAACCATCTAGACACCAAAATGAGGTGCCTCAGGTTGGGGGGAAACTTACTGTAGGTGATTTCACATAATGATACAGCTTGCCCTGTTTCTCTTATTAGCACATACCAAACTTTGAATGGGTTTGGTAGTACACAGCACTTAATTGCTTCCCTCATACTTCTTGGTTAAAGTTTGCTCAACAAACACAGAAACATAATTATTCCAAGTTGGATATTTCACAGTTGTTAACAGCTGTAGATGACTGCACTTACCATTCCTGATATAGGTCCCAGAAACCTTGGTAGGTGTGAATTGTCTATCCAATCAACATTGTCTTTATTATAGATTATTATAGCCAGCCTACTTTAGTGGAAGAAACATTCACTTCAAAAACACAAGTTGTCTCATACTAGCATAGGTGTCAAAGCTTGGGGAACAGATTAATCCCCTCAAGTCACTATTTCTAAATATTAACTGTAAAGGTACAAACTATTTCCTAACTGCAGACTTTTTTTTTTTGACATACCCAAGGATAATTAGCATGGCCTTGATTTACTACTGCAGAAGGCCAGGTCTCACATGTCCTTTCTCCCAGTCCCACACACTGACCTTGGACACCAAAGGACATCGCAAGTGGTGCAAGGTACCAGCGCATGGGCAAATGAGTCAAACCCCTTCTAAAAGCTTGGGAAGAAATTACTGAAAGGTTGATCTCATATGTCTCATCTGTTAGCAATGGAGTGGTGGCCCTAGACTAGAAGTGTCTGATATTCCTTTAGGTGATTCAGCATCTTTTTCCTGCTTCAAAGCATTTCAAGTTTCCTATAGGTCCTCTATCATTGCTCTCAGCCTCAAGCAGACATGTCAGATAGCCAGGGGCATTTTCTGAGCACACTAGACAAATCTGTTCAAACAAGCAAAATAAAACCTATGTGTCTTTTCCATGAATGCCTAAAATAAGAAGGGATGAATCCTAACCATGGAGTTTAAACATGCTGTAAACCTAAGGGGAGAAATCTCAGGACCAATCCATTCTGTGTTGCAGGGTGACTGAGGCTCTTCAAGCAGGTAAAGGAGAGCAATGTTAAAGAAAAAAAAGAAAGGGAATGCATCTGACAATGACTAAGACTTCAGTTCAGTATAAC